CCCTATCACTAAGAACCGCTGGTCTACACAGAAGAAATACCTGTCTAGACCTGTACGAGTTGTGTCGAGCTATTCATTAGTCTGTTTGATGAGAAAAATATGAAATTGATAAAATGGGTTACTAAACCGTACAACTGCAGCAGTGGAGGACTATTATTCTGCTGCGCGATACTACAGAAGAACTGATGATGGCACGGTTTGATATTCGGCTGACCAATCAGCAGAAAGGGGCGATTTAATTCCCGCCCACATGTAGAAATCGAATATTCAAGCTGTTTATGAATTGTTCCACCCATGAACGAAAAACGCAAATTTAAGCTGAATTCTCGTTTTTCGGAAAAAAACAAAAAAACGAAAAAGCAGCCATTTTCTCATTTTTCTACTTTCAATATTAAATCAAAAAACGAATGATCGAATGATACACTGATTATTTTGGATCATAATGATTGGTTTTTTAATATTCTGGAGTCAAAACCAGAGGAAGAATGACCTCTGACCTTTGACCCTGGGGGTCCCTGTGGTCCTGGGTAACCCTGATCACCAACTTCACCCTGTAAAACAGTTAAATATCCAGTTTACATAGATTTAAATAAATTAAACACATAAATACGATTTAATGGAAAAGCACAACAGAGATTCCATATTGTGACATTCATCTGAGTGGAACGGATCAAAAAATAAAAAATGCTGGACGGGGAATTGGATCTGTCTATCAGTTGTTGAATGGATGGAGGCAGATCTGAATGTGAGCTTGCACTTTTACTATCATTGAGATACTATTATAGTTTTTGTTAATATTTTAAATTAGATTTTATTTTTATATGTTCTGTTTTCATTTTTATTTTAGTAAAAGTTTGAGTCATTTTTTAATATATCTATTTAGTTTTCAAAGTTTTTAAGTTGTTTTACTTTATTTCAAGTTATTTTAGTGTATTGGCAACTACCTATAATCTCTCTCTCTCTCTCTCTCTCTCTCTCTATATATATATACTGTATATATATACCCTATTTATATTTACCCTATTTACTTTCTCTTATTGAAAACAATGTGTAATTGCACAATAATCCAAAGAAAAATGTTTGTCTTGGTCATTTTTCAATGTAAAATCTTACTTCACCTCTGAAGCAACTTTCCTTCTCGGTTGATATAAGCAAAAAAAAAACCTCTAGCGCAATAAATAGCACTTTTCAAATTTTACAGAAAAAAAAATCTACTTCATCCTAACAACTTATATCCTGTTTCACTTCGAAATAAAATCACATTACAGAAGTAAAAAATGTTGCGAACACGATTTCATGCAGCTGCAACACAACGGCTAGAACATACTCACATACAGTATGTTTCTCATCTTAGTCTCACACACAAACATACACATATACTAAAATGAAACTGATATTATACATTAAAAGTCATTCCAGTGAAACCGGCAGAAACTAATTCAAGACCTCATACAGATGTCAGCGCAACCAGACGTCAGTGTTTAAGGACAGCTGAAGTTAGCAAGCACTTACTAGCGCAAAGGGCAAAACACTCAAACATGCTGTTCATATTTATGCCGAAAGGAAAGAATTTAGTCTTTCAGAAAATTGCAAAAGCAAGACATTTTCCTAAAAAACAAGAAGTACCTTGGTCTCAAGGATGAGCACACACATATTTTATGTGTTTTAAACTTACTGGTTTTCCTGGTAAACCTCTTTGTCCCTGCAGAGAGAAAACGTGTTTGAAAGAAAGTAATGTACAATAATATAATGTGAGCCATGAAGACCATGACCATGTTGATCAGAAACAGTGATGGTTTCACTCACCTCCATTCCTTCTCGTCCAGGAGCACCCTAGAGAGACAGAAAGTATTTAAGATTAATACACCAAACTTTCAAGATGTATGTCAGTGTTTGATTGATGCCAGAGCTCTTTTTTAAAAGACTGGAGAACCAAATGTCATGTACCAATCCTTAAATTGCTATGCATCATTATTAACATTAAACGGCTTGCTGGGTTGGTATGAGTTTCACGTTAAATATCAAGTCATGTCACATTTATTTGCATAGAACTTTCCACAACACTCCAGTCCATCAATTCATGGCTTGTGATGTGAAAAGCTGCGTGTTTGTAAGAAACGAATCCATCATTGAGACGTTTTTATCAATTGCTTCCGGCTAGAATACGAGCCCTCATATAATGTTGCTTTCTTAAGCGAAAATGTTGTCTTGTCTGAATATATGACAGATCAAGCACCATTTATAAGCAAAAACAGTCTAAAACTGTTCTAAACAAATATGTTAGTGGATTTTGACGTGACAGTACAACAGGGGATGGACTGTTTCACTGGAGGTGGCATTATTGTGGATGATGGACTTGTTTCTTGGCCAAAAGCAATGGTTTAGAGTTAAAATGCCTTAATGATTAATTTGTTTCCTACAAACACAGATTTCCACTTCCTAAGACATTAATTGATGGACTGGAATTGTGGATTACTTATGGATTATTGTGATGTTTTTATCAGCTGTTTGTACTCTCATTCTGTCGGCACCCATTCACTGCAGAGGATCCATTGGCGAGCAAGTGATGCTAAATTTCTCCAAATCTGTTCAGATGAAGAAACAAACCCATCTACATCTTTGATGGCTTGAGAATGAGTACATTTTCAGCACATTTTCATTTTTGGGTGAACTAATATCGTGAGAGATGCCACTTGTCAATGTGAATTTTCCTTCCATCCATTTCTTATAAACAGTTTTTTTTGTTCTTATAGGGCGTCTTTGTAGAGATGGGTGTGTCTGTCATTTAACCAATAGGGGGCAGTGATGTACAACATTGCTTGTTTTGGTTGAATGTTTGCCATCAGATATATTAGGCACCGATAGCAAACACCTGCTCACATTAATGCAAAGTTATCATAGGTTTCTTATCATTTTATAACAGAAATCAAGGTTTTGAGAGTCTTTGTCATGCACAGAGAGAGAAGCTGCAATATAACAAAGAGTGAAAAATTTAAGGGGGTCTGAATACTTTCCGTACCCACTGTATATATCTGAATGCATCTTTTGGGGGATGTGCCGGGTGTAAGTATTATGATATAAACTTCATAGGATGTCAAGTAATACTTTTCATTTTGTAATCGATATTCTTGTCCTCATTCTGTACCTAAATTATCAGCAGAATGAGTGAAAACATGGCACACATATGCAGACACACAATCAGATGTAGCATGTCAAGCAGACTTCAAAGCTGGTATTCAGCCACAATACAGAGAGACATAATTTTCTGTTCCCTGTCAAAAATGAACAAAACCAGAGGAAGCGCTTGGGAAAATCCGAAGCACTATACTGTTTGCTTTCCCCATCCTTCCTTCAAGCTGTGCTTCTTAACAAGGTGGTTTTGCACAACAATAGGAGATAACTAGCAAGCAAGTTGCTATGTTAGAGAAACATCTGTGACCAACATGGTGCAGAATATCATAGATTTCAGCTTTCATAAAATGTTTCTTTACACACGAGCTTGACAACAAAGTAAAGCTGTGCAAACAGAACATGTCTCTTTGTTTAATCCACAGGACTCGAATGAAAAGCTCTACTTCTACCAGCACAGTTACACAGACCCCTTGTGCATGTGCTGTTATAGCCTATGTGTTTTTAGACTCATCAAATGATATCACAATTGTGTTACTTAGTGCTTGAAATGGGTGTTGGTACCTCCCTTGTTTATATATGCATATTAGAACTGCCAAAGGTGACTTGTTAGATCAATTAATAAATTAAATGCCTAACATAGGTAAATGCATTAACTACATTAAATGTGACTGTTTTGACATTTTGTGTGTGTGTGTGTGTTTGTGTGTGATTACCAAAGACTGGCTACAATATAATAACATTATATATTATATCATACTACATAAATGTATTATATTTGTACACATATAATATTACATATACACAAATATCCATATTTAAAATTATACATATATATATATATATATACTGACGTCATTTTTTTTTTTTACTTATACCATCCAACTTTGGTTTGTTGGAAAGCTTTTTTTCTTTTTGAATATGTTTAAATGTATAATTTATTCCTGTGATGTCAAAGCTGAATTTTCAGCACCCATTATTCCAGTCTTAAGTGTCACATGATCCTTTAAAAATCATTTATATTGCTGATTTGCTGCTCACTACACATTTCTTATTATTATTATCAATGTTGAAAACAGTATTGAATTTTTATGGAAACGGCGATACTTTTCAGGATTTTTTGGATTAATAGAAAATTCAAAAGAACAGCATTTATTTGAAATATAAATCTTTTGTAACATTATGAATATGTTTACTGTCAGTTTTGATCAAATTATTACATCCTTGCTGTAAAAAAGTATTAATTTCACTGAAAAAAAAATAAAAAATCTTACTGACCCCAACCTTTTGAACGGTAATGTGTGTGTGTGTGTGTGTGTGTGTATATATTTAAACTATATTTTGATGCAGATAATCCTGAGTAAATGAGATTCCCCACTTTTGCCAAACCCCCAAATGTCATGTAAAATCAAGCAAAGTGAGTTTGGTAATTTAAAATGTCAGTCAGACGGCCTCTTCATATATGAATGAATGGTTCTTGGCCAGAATAAGCTATAATATGCTACAGATTTACTGCTGATAGTCAAAACCTTGGCTTGTGAACAGTCTAGTAAGAGCGACATTATAGACTGCTACAGAAGAGAGAAAACTGGCTCTCATAACCTGCCGCTATGCAAGAATCATTTCTGGTATTGCAAAAAGAATTGACAGTTCAGTGTGCCAGTGAGAACCAGCCCAGTTTCAGCAAAATAAAACCATTCCCAGTTCACTTTTAGTCCAAATTAAGCTGCCTTTATGATAAGAAACTAAAAAGGATGAACTTAATTTAAAGGGACCTAAGGCGAGAAACGTTTGGGAGAACTGTTGCTGAACCTGGATTCGTGCCATATCTCTTTACGGGACGTTTAGGAACAGCAGAGCTCGTCAAGAACACACTGTGGCTGTGTCTTACCCAAACCAGATGAGTCTTGAGCCTTAAAATCTATATTTGGTTTAGCTTTAGGTGAGCCGCAGTGCACTGGCATAGACTGTGGTTTTCAAACGCCCCACCGGGGTAATGATTAACTGGATTTGCCCCTTTCCCCTTTAACCTCTCTCTCTCCATTACCTCTGGCTGAACAAAACACAACATCAGATGACAGAGGCCAGAGCAGAGCAATACTAATGCCTTTAACCTTTAAAGTACAACCTGTAACTGTTGTAAACCACAGGCTGCTATAGTCCAAAAACAGCTTCAGATGATAAATCCAATTGTACAATTAGGCTCCCCTTAATCCTTTTTATATTTGCCGCTTTTTCAAATGACTTGAGCTGAACAAACACAATTCTTGAACATTTTGTCACAACTTAATTTCATTATGTCTTAACTTTATTATGTTTAAGCTAACTTAATCATTCTTTGTTGAGACTACATGAATCATTTTGTTGACATACAGTAACTAACTGGGCAGTAGATTTGTAGTTCCCAGCATGCTTTGGATGGGACTGCATTCAGAGAGTAAATGTTGAAATTACAGTTTTTAAAAATTGCTTGGACATGAAAAGTGGTACTTGAGGCCCACTCTGTGAAACCATTCACTCATATAACTAATCTTTAGACCAAGTTTGCAAAACTACAATCACAGTACGTGCTTTAAACTCAGTTTGCTATTGTAAAACAAACTTTTTGCAAAATTACACACATCATTCAAAACTAACAGCTCTTTTGTTTCATTTGGGAAACACTGCCATTTAAATGCCACACTCATTTACAGATAACCTGCAAGAAATAAAAAATGTTTTACCCCCTTACATTTATGTTTAGATTGTATATAAATATATGTATATATGATTATATACTGTTTGTGTGTACAGTACATACACACACACATACAACTATATTTATTTATTTATTTAGTTAGTCATTTAGCAGACACTTTTATCCAAAGCGACTTACAAATGTCTTTTACAAAAACTAAAAGCTAAAACTTTATAAATACACATTTTAAAAATAAAGAAATTAAATAAAAATGACAAATGCATAAAACAAAATTTCTAAACTTAACATTTAAATGAAAAACAAAAAATAAAGCTAAAAACAATTCAAAATATTAAAGAACAAAAGGTATAAGAGTATAATAATGATTCTAACATAACACTAAGCCAAACACCACACATATATGTAGTTGTTTTTTTGGTTTTAGTTGTTATAGTTGTTATATATATATATATATATATATATATATATATATAC